CCATTAGCTATAAGAACAAGTAGTAGCCTCACTATTTTTGAAAAGGGACTTAAAGTGCTACTGAGACGAAAATTTATGTACTTGAAAACAAATTTTTTATGCCAACAATTTAAGTTTAGATCCTAAACAAAAAGAAAAAATATAATTCAGACCTATCACGGCAAGAAAAGTCTGAAAAAATTTTGATTAAAACTCATTAAATTTCGCCCACCATTGCTCAAACTACAACTACTGAGCCAAAGATAATTTTCAGCGTCTTTACCCATTGTGACATCATAGTATTCCTTTCATCAAAGCATTGCCGAAGTAAATAGTAAATTCAGTAGCAATCTTGCTCGAAAATCGTCGCTGTTTTCTATTTTAAACGACAGTAATGTTGAGGAGAAATATTGGATATATCGCGCTCTGTGAGACGAAGAAGTAGAGCCATGTGCAACCAAGGAAGAGGCCATTGCTTTTGAGGAAAACATTTAAATGTGGCTATATAGTGAAGAAATGAGGGAGCTAGACCTTCAAAAGCGCCTTACAGGTGACATAGAAGTTCATAATACAAATTTTAGCACATATGTTCTTATAGTTAAGCTTTTGTAGCAGCTAGGATGAAAATATCTCTTGAAAGGCTATATTTATTGTTATAAGGTGTCTTCGAACAGTTCTTATTTTGCTGGAAGTTCAAATCTTTTCTCTTTGTTATGTAATGTCTTAAGGCTGTTATGCAACGCTTTTCCTAGCAAAACTGTGGTATACCATGTGGTTTTGAAGAAAATCAATAGCCTGTTTATTTCTATGAATTGTGTTTTACTTAGTACACATTACTATGGACTCGTGTTTGCATTGTGCAGCTTTTCAACTTTGGAAATAAATCATAATGCTGGTAAACTTTTACAAAGGACTACTTTTTGTTATTTTCAGGGAACAAAAGTATTTTGTCCAGACTGTTACGTATACTGTGACACCCAGAAACTGAACTCCAGAAATACATGTACTTATGTAATGCCCTTGCAATTCAAGACAACTAAACAGTAGCAGTAGGGAGTTTGCACACTCCTGAATTATTTTGTGTTGAACTATACACAACTGTCCTATGAGAATCAAATCAAACAGTTTGTAGCTTTCTTAGTTTAACAGTAACAAGTAATTAAGCAGATAACTATTCATTTTCTGAAGTTCTGTTCTACAGACGCTATGTTGATGATACCTTTTGTTTGTTCAGTAGCGAGGAGGACGCGCTCGTGTTCTTTGATTATATCAATGCCAGGCATCCTAGTATTCGTTTCACAATGGAAAAGGAAATTGATAAGAAACTATCGTTTCTAGACATATTGTTAGACAACAGTCATACATCCATCCTCACTAGTGTATATCGCAAGAAGACGTTTACTGGTCTTCTTACTAATTATTTCAGCTTCGCCCCTTTGATTTACAAATTAGGTTTAGTCAGAACATTGATTGACAGAGCATATAAGATCAATAATTCCTCGTTTGGTTTTCATCTGGATGTGAAGAACTTATTTTCTTGCTACAGAAAAATTGTTTTCCATCTTGGGTCAAAGACAAGATCATTTACAGGTAGCTAGGGAAGAAAAATAATCCTCCTACTGGGCAGAACGCCTCTTCTAACTCCGGTAAACCTCCTTCGCACTATTATAAACTTCCCTATGTTGGTCGGTTTTCGAACATTGCTCAAACTAAGTTGAGACAACTACTCAAACGTTATTGTAGAGCTGAGTTAGATGTTAAGTTAGTCTTAGATGTTAAGTTAGTCTTCAGTACATTTAAACTCAGAAACATGTTCAGTGTGAAAGATTCAGTACGCTGGGTCTACATTCGCGTGAAGTATATAAATTTTCGTGTGCTGGCTGTAATGTCAGTAACATTGGTGAGACCACTCGCCACATTTGTACACGAGTTCGTGAGCACCTCTTGTCGGACAAAACTTCGCATATTTACAAGCACCTGCAATCATCAAGGGCCTATCTTGACTCTTGTGATACTGAATGTTTCACGATCTTAAATTCTGCCGCTTCAAAATACCAAATTAAGATCAAAGAGGCATTGTATATCAAGTGGGAAAAACCCATTCTTAATCAGCAATTGAAACATCTAGAATTGTCTCTTTCCTTTTAATTATGTTGTTCCTTGGTCTTTTATTTTATTATTATTATTATTTTATTTTTTTTTGATCTAGTCAAGCATGCGCTATTTACATTTTTCGCGTTTTTAACATTCT